GGTCTATTCTTTGGCCTGAATGGTCTCTACTTGGGTATTCAGTTAACAAACCACGAAACACTCCATTTGTTAATGCACTTTCCCATACTTGTGCCATAGTTAAGAAAAGACATTATGACCCATTAGAGTTAATCTTAGAGCAATGCAAGGATGGTTAGTTATTTTAAAATATTAAGTTACTATATTGGCTAAAGGAGATACAATTTTCTTAAAATAGATGCCGACAAAATAAATGCTAACATTAATAGCCATTTGTTAAGTAAAACAAAAATAGCAAGATTAGGGAGGGAAGGAAGCTCTGTTATCTGATAATGAGGCCATGTTAAAACAACATGGCAAAAATGATACTTGGTAAAAATTTTAGGAGCATTCCCTTTAATGTCAGTCATAAAACAATGTTATCTGCCATCACTGCTTTTATTCAGCATTCCACTAAAAGTGCTGGCAGGCAAAGTAATGTAAGGCAAAAAAGATACGAGGATTAGAAAGGGACAACTATTCACTGACAATACAGCCAACAACCTACAAAAGCTAAGTGCAACTACCAACTGCTAGAAATGATGAAAATCCAAGAAGCTTGCAGGATCCCAGATTACAAATTAAAAACCAGAAAGCCTTTCCATGCTCTTAGCTATGTGTTTAGCTCCAGCAACAAACAATTAACCTGTATGTTCAGTGCGATGTCAGTCGACATCCCACGGGGATTTTGGATGGAACTCTGACAAGTAGTTGCCAAGCTTCAGCCATGGGAGCAAAGAGGGAAGAACAGCAGTGACAAGTTAAAGGATGTACTACTAATAGGGGTAGCAACTCTGTCTGGAACTTTTCCTGCTAGGTACAGGTTCAGCATAAATATACTGGTCACAATCAATATGGTATTGATGCAGAGACCAGAACAAAACAAAACAAAGCAAAAACTGTAATACTTTTTAAAATGTTATAGGAGAACATTTTCACAATCATAGGAAAAGTAAGACTTTCTTTGACAAGATGCAAAAGATAAAATAATCACAGAAATATGGATAAGTTTGAGATTATGGTCAAAGATATCACACTAAGGTGCTAAAAACTAATTGAAACAATAAGCCAAATGTTGGAATTAAATATTTGCTATATGTTTAAGTGGAAAAGTTTGGTTTCCAAGTATATAAATAATTTCCAGTTAATCAGCAACGAAGAGCCAAGTTTGCAATAGATAAACAGGCAGAAAAATGGTACATGCAAATACGTTGAGGGAAACAGAAATGGCCAATTAAGATGTGAAAAGCTTCACAAACTCACTAGTCAAAACAAGACCTCACTTCCCACCCATTAATATTTAAGCACAATAACTTTTACCGAGGATGTAGGGAAATAGGTACAACTCTTTGTGTGACAGTTCCTAATAGGTTTAAAGCATACTTTCTCGGGAACCACCTAGGAATTCAAACCATCTTTCCAATGGTATATATACAAAGATATGCACTGCAGCTTTGTAAAATGAAAATATGGAGACAAACAGTCTGTGCAGAAGGAGGTGACAAAATAAACAGCTTTATCTATGCACAGTAATTGGATACCATGCAGCAGCTATTACCATAAATAAATCACATCTGTGTGTATCAACACAGACAAAAATCCAAAGACAAAATATTGGGTGATAAAAAATAAGTTTCAACACCCAGTATAACGTGAAACTATTTATTACATTTGAAAGGCCACAAAGCAATAATATTTATTTTTTTATGGGGACTGCACACACACACACACACACACACACACACACACACGCACACACACACGCACACCCCATACACTTTTAAAGTATAAATACAAAACTGCATGGAAACGATATATATAAACCTGCTGGGATGGAAGAAAGGGTAAAGAATGTGTGTATGACTTTCTGTATTTCTTTTCTTTCTCAAGGGAGAAATCTGAGAACCAACAACCAACATTTATTCATATTTTGCTTCATCTCAGGGAAAGGTAAACCAGTCTGTTACGTTACTTTTCCTCAGTTGGAAATGTTTCCCAGTTCAACTGAAGTCTTTCAAATTGAAAATGAAATAAAGTGAGAATGCATTCTTCCTAAAGGTAAGCCATTTCCCAGCCTTAGAGATTTCCTTCTCAGAGTTCTGCCCTGTCTAGAAATGAGGGCAAAGAGAGGAAGATCAGCCAGGACATGTGAACTTGACCTTTCCCAGAGAACAAAGACCGGGCCTTTTCTACCTCCTGTCCCAGATGGGTTGCCTGGAGCAGGGGCGGGAACAGGAGGGCAGGCAAGGGGCAGCTGTAAATCAGGAGTCTGGCCACACAGCCGGGCCTGGGGATGGATGCTGAGGCCAGCGCCATGTCCCCTGGGTGCTCCCGGACAAACCGTGGGTGGACGGTTCCACGCTGTCTAAGCTCGCGTGCAGGGTCAGCACTAATGTTATATTCCTGCTTGAGAAATGCTAAGCAACACTGGAGAAAATTAGAGCAAAATACATCCTCAGCTTGGGTAGCCCAAAGACGATCAACAGGAAGGCCAAAGGTTAAATTTAGCTCTCAGATATTGTTTGGCCCATATTATGATTTTTGGTAAAGTTTTGACTCAACTGCTAATATTTAAAAATTGAGCCATTTCTGCAAAACAGTAGGTCCCTAGTTTTTCTCCTGCAGGGATTCGGATGCAATCAGGCCTGAGTTCCAGGATGCCAACAGCTGGTTGGCTGTGAAGATTGTCCCTACCCTCCCTCCTCTCTCTCTCTCTCTCTCTCTCTCTCTCTCTCTCTCTCTCTCACCACCTGCTGTCTCCAGCAGGAGTGCCACCCATCCTATTCACAGATGGGGAGGCCAAGGCCCAGAATGTCCATTTCCTTGCTCAATGTTAGTTAGTTTGCAGACAGCAGAGCTATGCTGGCACCGGACACCCAATTATCAGTTAACTTGTGATTCCTTTCCCCTATCAGGAGAAAGCTCATTTTATGATTTTTTTCTATTTTTATTAGTATATGTTTGCAACATAATAATTACATTTACGTTGGGGAATTGGTACAGAAAATATTGCATCTTAATCATTTTTGCTTCCCCTTCCCCCTCTCTGCCCTCCTAGCTCCACCCTCTCCACTTCATGATTTTAATGTCATATTAGCAGGTACAATGCAAGTGATAATCCTTAACACTTTTAGTAAAGACTTAGTTCAAATGGTGATTAAGAACCATCTAGATGGATTCATTAATTCCAATCATTAATTAGAATAATTGCATTGTCAATTGCAATAATTAATTAGAATAAGAATTACAGCAATAAGTTACCAAGATTTGACCAAACTCAAAACAGAAAATTTTTACACGTGCAATACAAGGCCCTCTAACTGAAAATGTCATCATGAAAGGTTGTTTGGCCCATCGCAGGTCCCTGCTTCTCTCGCTCACCCCCCCCCCCAATCTTACTCATCTTCTTCTGAGTGCAGAAGGAGGCTCGACTCTGATCTGAACTTTTCCTCAGAACGTCCCTCAACACGTACTTCCTTTAGGCTTTTTGCTTTTCGCATCTACTTGTTCTTGGTGAAGCTGGTAGATGATCCAGGCTGACTTGAATGAGCTACATCAGTATTTACTGACCTAGACTGGGCATTCCTCTTCTATGAAAGTGCATTTTTGTTAGAATCAAGTGTATAAAGAGATTAAATGGATTACAAAAATTCTTTAGGATGTGAAACACTAAATAACCTAAATGTAAATCGTATGGGAATCGGAACGTTTCAATGAACTTCGGCATACTGGTAAATCTATGCAGCGGAACAAAAAGAAAAAGGTAGATCTGAAATCTTGACATGCACAGATCTGCGAGTTGCAAAAAGCAAAATATATGTGCATATATGCAGTATGGAATCAATTACGTTAAAAACAAAATTACCTATTCTATGTGGGTCCGTACATATGTATGTAAGGTCTGGAAAGAGGCATGAAATTGGTGAAAGCTGATACCTCTAAGAAGACAGAGAAATCTAGAGAGCTATAGGGCCGTGATGGAGTTTAGCTGTACCTATACTGTCCATAATGTTTTAACTTGAAATTTAAGTTAAATAGAGAAAATGAGGACTCTATGTGGTCATAAATTGTAAAACGCTTTTTTCATGTAACACACAAGTGATTCTGTAATTATTAACTTTCAATCAGCTCTCAATCATGAAATGCTTAAAACATCTGCTCATCCTCGGAAATTAAATTTACTATACTGTGTTATTGTCCAAATTAGCTCTGAAGTGTAAAAATAGCACAAGGCCCCTGGAAATTTAAATTTCACTTTCACAAGTCAAAACCAAGTCAGCCACTGTAGGAGGCATATTATAGCTCTGAGGATGCTCTTTCTTTGATGGTAAAGAATAAGAACTAGATTTAAATAAACCGAGGATCACTCAAATTCCAAAAAGAAGTAAAACCAAAGTGAGGCTGCTTAATACATCCTAACAGGACTTCTACTTCTACTTCTTAAATTTTAAGGGATGGCATTTGCTTTTCCAGCAGTGCCCAAGAACAAGTTTTGACACCAGGGAAACCGAGTCCCGGAGAGCTCAGAGTTCAGGGGAGCTGTAAGTAGGAGGGAGGCCAGGCTGGGCTCCCGCAAGTTTCCCCGCAGCCATCTGAGGCTCCAAGCAGCCCGAACCACTCCGGCGCCAGAGCGATTCGCCATCCACTCATCCTATGCCCTTATCTGGCATTTTCCAGTCTCCTCCTGGCGATTTTTATGCATCACCTGTCTATCTGCCTATTCTCCATCTCTGTTCGCTGACCCCTGGTAGTCTTTCCTGGCTCCCGGACCCGGTCCTAGGGTACCCCGCTCCTCTCCCTCCAGCGCCGCGCCTTCCACCTGTTCCCCCGACAACCCCTCCCGTGCGGGGCGGTTCGGGAGCTGCGTGGAGCCCCCGGAGCCGGTCAAGGCTCGCGGACAGCGCCCCCCCCAGGTGGGGCAGAGGCAGGGCCCCAAGGCCCTGGCTGGGGTCGCGCAGCCCCGCACTCACCTTGCAGTCGGCGGGCGCGGCCGCCAGGAGCAGCAGGAGGAGCCACTGCAGACGCGCGGGCGGCCGGGACGCGCACTCGGGACGCATGGTGGGCGCCGGGCGGAGCCCGGGTGTCCGGGGACCCGCGGGTTCCACGTCCCCTGCCGTGAAGCTCGCCCCGCCGGTTCCCCGGGAGGGTTTTGTGGGGCCCCGCGGCGCGGCTGGTCCCTCCTCACCCAGGCTTTGGCTGCGGCTCCCGGGGAGGGCAGAGCGGCTCAGGGCCCGCCCTCGGCCCCTCCCTGCGGTGCGCCCGGCGCTGTCCCCTGCAGGGCCGTCAGATTGGGAGGTGAGGCCCGAGGCCCTGGGGCTCCGGCGGGGCAGGGAGTGCGGGTCGGGGTGAGGAAGCTTGGGGTGTGCGCTGGGGAGGTGGCTGTGCAGGGTGGAGGGAGTGGCCAGCGGCCCTGCCCGGATCCAGCAGGAGGCGCGCTGGGCGTCCGCGCTCGCCGGGCCCGCTCGCTCCCAGCTCCCGCGCCCGTGCAGCTGGCGCCCGCCCCGTCTCAAAGTTGCAGCCGCCGGACCGACGTGTCCTCCGGAGCGCAGTGGAGAAGCAGCCGGGGCGGCAGAGCCCACAGGTGCGCAGTACCGGTGCTGCGGGGTCCCCCAGGTAAGGGGCCACGGGCGGGCCTGGGCACTTGCGCTGGGGAGGCGGATGAACCTTGGCATCCGGGCCGGGGTGGCTGCAGAGTTAGGGCCTTGGGGTCACCAGAGGAGAGCGCGTCTAGCTCCCAGGCTTGTCTGCCAGGGCTTGAACTGGGAGCTGTGTGTTTTGCTTAATTTGGAGGCTCGGGTTACCTGCCTGGCAGTCGGGGCATTCCCAAATGCCAAGGGAAAGAATGCAGCTGAGGGGAAAGAGAAAGTCCATGCTATTTTAGCCTCGGCAGGGTTGAACTGGCTTTTCAGGCTAAAAAAATCTTATCTGCGGAAGTGCGGGGAAAAACCAGACCAGCTCCTGTCCAGAGTGTCGCTCCCAGAAGGGGAGCGCTCTTCCTGCAGGAGGCCCGGCGTATAAATGGGCCACCTCTGGCTTGTTGGGGCCCCGACTCTGAGCAAGGAGTGAGGAATTTAGACCCCTACTGAGAATAATATTAAATGTATAAAACACAACTGAATCAGAATCAGTTTTACTGGAAAACAATCATCGAAGTACAATACTGAAGCCGCGCATTATTGTTACTGCATTAAATAGCTAGATCTAACAGCAGATCTGTTAGATAACTGTAATAACAATGTCGTGATGACTGCAAATAATATTCCAGGTAGCTGGCAAACTGAAACGTGGCATGAAAAATACCAGTGGGTGCAAACGGTAAAAATCTGCCAATACGACTGTGGTCTGTTGCCTATAGTCATAACTGAAGCAGACGCTGAACTGTAAGAGAATGGTGAAGCTAAAATGTCATTTTTTCCCTTCCCCACCCAAGTTCACCCACTACCTGAATTTCATCTCTAGGTTAAGATCCTTTGCTCTGGAGAGGGTAACTGAACTCTGCTGTGGTTGGTTGTCAATCACCAAGCGTGAGACTGGCTTGCAATTAGAATCAAGGTTTACCAGTAGCACATATCTGTGTAGCCATGAGCGGGGAGGCAAAACCCCAACAGGGAGCAAAGACACCCTCCCACCTTCTCATTTATTTATTCTTTTGACTGTAGAGTGAAAGAGTGCTTTCTCTGTGTCTTTTGTGCCAGCAGTTCACAACTGTGGCTGTGCATTAGAATTCCTGAAGGGCATCTAAAAATCCGGATACACGGTCCATCCCAAGCCAATTTTATCAGACCCTCCAGAGGGTCTGTATTTCAAAGGTCCCAAAGATGCTCAGGTGCCAGCAAGTTTGAGTGCCGCTGTTTTGCATACACATTTTTGTTAACTGTATTGAATTAGGGTCTCTTCTTTGTACAATAGTAAAAAGGAATATATTAAACTCTTTATTAAGATTTAGGAACACTGGAATTTGTGCCTGGACCATAGATATTGGAATGTTCTACATAGTAGCTTCTCCCCATTGATAAGGAAATTTCAGGAAAGAAAGACCAGCATTACTCCCCGCACCAAAAAAAAACCCAGAATGAAACAAAATCTTGGTTCTCCTTCTGTTTGCTGAATTCCAGATTTCTCAATTTGAATTTCAATTGGCTTTTCTTGAAGCTGTGTCATTTTAATGAAGATCAGGTTTGGTTTTATCAGTTTTGGAATGAAAGGCGGAAGTGAACTGCAAGTCACTTCTGATAGAGCAACAGAGTAGGAAAGAAATGCAATATAAACACAGGAAAGAGTAAGCAATAGTTAGTTAAGAGCTTGGTCTTTGGAATGGACCCCGAATTCTGAATCCACTCCATCCTTGCTGGTCTACCTTAACTTCTCTGGGCTGGAATCTTCCCCTCTGCAATATTAAGATAATCATAGTAATCGTCTCAGAGAGTTGTAGGACTGTAACATTCCATCAGAAGTCCTTTGACCGGGGTCTCCACTTAACAAACACATACTACAATCTTCAGTTGCAAAAGGGAAAATAGATGGACTTGTGAGAAACAGTAGCACAAGGCAGAGGTTTCTCTGAGCTCAATACTAAAGGGATAAGAGCTGAACCCAGCTTGTTAGCTCCTTGAGGTTGATGCCCTCCCAAGGCATTTAGAACCTTCCCTTTGCATCCTTGGGACCAGCAGCCTTGGCATCCCAGGGATCCTGTAAGAAATGCAGAGTCTCAGGCCCCACCCAGACCCACTGAATCAGTTTACCTTCTCTAGAATCTCTGGGTGACTCACATACACATGAAACTTGGAGAAGTGGCTTGTCTAAAAGCCAGATCTGGGCTGGAGATTTAGCTCAGTGGCACCACACCTGCCTCGCAAGTGCAAGGTCCTGAGTTCGATCCCTGGTACCAAAAAAAAAAAGAACATATAAAAAGCCAGATTTAGCCACCCATTACTGTCCCTCCCTGCCTTACTCCCCCATCTAATGTTCCTATGGTGTTTTTTGTGCTCACTTGTGGAATTAATTAACCAGAATTCTTGAATTTTAAAAAATAATCTTGGTCAAGAGAACTGATTTTTCACAGTTGGGTCCTCCAATGTGAATAATCAAAAGGAAGGGAGTGTGGTTCAGGGAATGTGGACACAGAGGTCTCTACTTTTGACTTGGCCACCAGATGGATGGAGATTTTGAACAAAATTAAATGGTCCTTACCTTTGTAATTATTATTGCCCCCTTTTAAAATCACAATATCGTTTTGTTTTCTGCATAATGTCTACATATGTATATCTGCATCTCTACATTTCAGTGTAAGCCCTGTAGGGCAGCGAGTGTGTGTGTGTGTGTGTGTGTGTGTGAATTATTGTTGAATTAGTGTATGAGTGAAGGCGAATGGCTTGAAACCCAGCGTTCACACTCAGGACTGTTTTCTTCTAAAGTTCACAATCTTTCTAAAGCCTTCATTGTTAAGAGGTGGGCCTCTGCCTTTCCTGAGACACACACTTCTCCAGAGGTGGGCCTCTGCCTTTCCTGAGACACACACTTCTCCAGGCTGCTCCTAGCTCCTTCTTTAATATTTTTAAGCTTCCTCTCCTTGCTTTGTCCTCCCTCATGTTTCAAAAATGTTCTCTTTTCAACACCACTGAGACAATGTGGCTCTTCAGTGCTTTCCAATCTCAGAGTCATGATCAGCTCCTATCCGTTGTTGCCATCCCATCTCCGGGTTCTTTCGCTGCTTTTCTAAGCTCAAGACTCCTGCCCTGGGGTCTGCACTCCTCACCCTTGGAGCCCAGGAGCCTTCTCGATAGTTCCCTCCACTGCGAGTTCTGTGAAATCCATCCTTTACGTTATTGTCATTGTCAGACTTACCACTTAAAATTGCACATGGTGTCTGGAAGGACAGGTTATTTCGAGGGCAACCACCACCTCCCAAACCCAGTAGCTTACTGTCACAGGACCTTTTCCTCCGTGTACACTACATGTTCACGGAAGGGGGTGGGGGAGGTGGCGGTGGGATGGAGAAACTGCTTATAACCAGTCGGGGACTTCCGGGAAATTTTAGAAACTCAAGAGTGGCATGATCAACATGACCCTCAGCACCTCTGATCGCCTCGGAGGGAAAGAGAATGTGCCAAATGAAACCTGCTTTCCAAGCTCCCACTGGATGTGACATCACTACTACCACTCCTATTCCACTGGCCCAACGGTCATGTGACCATGCTTCAATATGGAAGGGGCAGGGGAAATGGATCTGCCACCTGCCTGGAAAGAGCTGGAAATGGGGAACCATAATAATGCCCACCACAGTCAGGTCATGTGCTTCTTGAAAAGCTCCCAAAAGTTCCCCTTTGCCTTCCCAGGGAATCTAACACTGCCTAGAGGAGAATCAAATGGTCCCAGATCTATTCTTCTGTTGTATCTCCTCAGTCACCCCAAGCTCCTCATGTTTTCTCAAGTGTACCAAAACGTATCCCCCCTCCCCGCTTACTGCATGTTTTTGCATTTGCTGTCTCTACCATTGTTGGTGACCCTCTGGTGCAGCTACGTCTGCTTTAAGGTCATGGCCCATGAAAACCTTTATGTAGATCTTTATTATATAGCACAGAAACAGTGTAAGGTAATTTGCTGCTTTGTGGTGCTGGGTACCAAACCCAGGGCCTCACACAGGCTAAGCAAGACATCTACCACTGAGCTATATCCCCAGCCCAACAAGTATTTCTCGAATTAATCATAAATGTTTATTGTATTAATTGTGTTATGGAGGTGATGTCTGGAATATATTTTTTGTTAATGCCAAGCTAGTTTACAGGGGTCACTTCAACTTTGAAACATCATATTTATAACTTAAGATTTTATTGTAACATATATTAGATTCTATATATTTTCATTCCCATACATTCACTTTTTGTTGTAAAAACTTAATGTAAACTTCTTTTTGCCTTTCATGTATGAAATTAAAAGAACACATTTCCGAATTGCGGGATGAGGGAACAATCTTACTTTAACTGTAGAATTCTTTGTTTTTGTGAAACTTTTGCCTGCTGATTGCTTTGGCCATGATATCCACGCAGCACCCTTATCCAGCTCCCAGGGCATCCTCTTGGCTTTGCGCAGGGACTTACTGCTGTCTAAAGTCTGCACTGCATGGTCCATGCAGTGTCTTTGTGGTCCGTGGTAAATTATGGGGTGCATACATCTGAAGGCTGGACTTGAAGGATGTGACTAGAATCTTTCATTAGCTTCCAGAGTGGCTGAACCTTTGTAGGAGAGTCTAGTTTCCAGTCTTGAGACTTACTAAGGAGATTCTAGGAATCAATTCCTGCCAGAAACAAGGGAGGGTGAGAGGCCAGCAGAAGACAAGCATGCAGCTGTGAGAAAGATGTGGTGAAGCTCTTCTTAGGTTTACCAAGAGTCCTACGAATGCTAACCCCCTTAGAACCAACCGTATCCCATCTCTGTATTTCTGCTAGACCATAATGTGCACCTGAACATTTTTATGAAATCTTTTTTCTTTGTTTAAATATTTAAATACTTAAACATTTGCTTTCTCTATATCCCATTTAGAGATGGTACCTTTAAGACCTCCAACTGTCCCATAGAAATTTTTAGACTTGAAATTCCAAATACAAAGGCATCCA